AATTATAAATCAACTGGGCCTATCACTTTATTTCTTAGTTAACTTAGACTTCAGTTTGTTTCTTTGTAGTTATAATCTACATAAAATGAGATATTGTTGTATGTCAGATCAAATCGACCTCCCGTATGACTTGAGAACTAGTGTCGGACAGTGAAAAGCATAGTTGGGAAGCACACACACACAACTGGATTGTCCACCGTCCTCCAGTCTCAGCAACCTCATGAATGCATCATAAAATTTGTGTTTGTGATTGGTTTGTATATGTTTCAAGCGCGTCTGAATCCAGACTGTGACAAAATAATCATACTAAAGTAAACTATTAGTTTGTCCAGTCTAAGGCGGGGGTAATTTTCTTGGGGAATTCACAACCGGAGCCTTCGGCTGGCCAAAGCCTAACCCGCAAAGCAGCGGGACGATGAGTGTAGAAACCGTAATCCATTGAGGCCCGGATGGAGTCGAGGTACTCAGTACATCTCGATGCCCATTTGAGCGGCTGACCACTGCCACAATTAAGATGTGCAAGTCTGGTTTGTACGTCTCTTCCTGGTTGGTTTGGAATCTAGGTGAACTTCCAGAGGCTCACCAACATGGTTATGGCCTCGGATATTGGTTTTTCGTCCTCTCACTTTGGTAGTAAAACACCCCTACGAGAAGGTGTTGAACAAGGCTTCCTCAGCAGGGGCTATTTGAGACACTTGTTCGTATAGGAGAGCGTTTGGCGAGATGCAAGGGAAGGGTGACCAGCCCCAACCCAAGACAACCACCTCCGACCACACTGAGGCTGTCGGATTTGGTAGAAAGCGATGTCGGCTTCCCTTATCATTTTGACTTAAGTGTATCCTTTAGAACCACTCTAGATTGCGTACTGGACTCGTAGCAATGGACGTCCACTTTTACACTCGTCGCAGGCTCTGTTCTTGTACACTGCTGACGATTGCTAGCGTGCGTGTGCGTGTTTGCATGTGTGTGTGCGTGTGGTGTCTACCAGGTTGATCTGGCATCTATTTAGATAATTCAATGGCCCCACACTCAACGACCGAACCAATTTAGTGATCCTCAGGTTAGGGCTGACCGATTAGCCCAGGAGGCTGTAGAAAATGTTGTGCACGAGTCGTTTGATTTTTTTTTTCAATTTCTGTCGTCACATGTTCAGGAATTCCTTGTATGTTCTGTTTGTGATTACGTAATTACGTCATAATATTGTTCATTCTCATAGACCGTAAAGTTGACGGGTCTACTAAATAAAAAAATATCTTCGATTTTTACATCACAGTAACTAACTTCTACGACGCACATAACTGACGAGGGAACAGTCAACTAGAAAGATATTGCAAACGTGAGGACATTGAGTGAAATCTATGGTCCATTGCACGACAATGCAGGTTATTTTCAATGAAATTTCCTCTCCGTTCGGTGTGCAGAGAACACCGGAATGCGTGGTTAAACAAATAATAACACGCTGCAATTCAGCAATATTCCGGGCTTTGGAAGGCAAGGTCCTGCGTCTGATTTCGTGGACAGCCCACATAGTTGAAACTATAACGGTGCTCTAAAGACGTTAGTTTTGTATGGGTTGGCAAGAGAAACGTATGCCNNNNCTTCGGCATTCCATTTTTTGGACTATTTGCGGTTTCTGTTTCGTAGTACAGCACTTCGTCTATTCAAGATAGACAGTGATTCCTGATTATGACAATCTCGAACGAGAGATTTATAGGAGAGTTTAGTTCGAACTGTACAGCTTTCACTGTATCATGCCAGATCCTGGTCTTTTTCTGGTTGTTGTTCTCAAAAGAGAAAAGCCCCGCGGAACGAACGAATATGGTCAGTCCGAAATTTTAATCGCTTTAGGATTCGGTAGTTGAATGCTGCACGGGTCGCCCAGCACCTGGTTTATGAGTATTTCTTACCAAACACTTGGCTACTTGTTAGTAGTAAAAGCTGGTTTCGCTGTTATCGTTTCACCTGCAGTCTCATTTTTGTTCATAAAGTTGTGCGTTTCCTCGCTCACTTTGTTAGCGCTTGTTTACACAAGCGTTGGCCTGACAAAGTGTTTGAATAAAGTC